GCGGTGGACGGCAGGGACGCAGGTGCCCCGCCCCGCCCCCACCGCCGCCGGCAGGAAGAGGAAGGAGCCGCGGGCCACCCGCCGGGCCTCGCGGGCGGGGGCGCCCTGCTCGGAGCGCGTGACCTACTTCGTCCCGAAGTGGATTTGACAGGTTGTCAGCTCGGCTCCCCGCCCCCACCGCCTTCCGGGTCCGTCTCCCTCCCCGGCGCGTCGGCGTCACCCGGCTCACCCTCCCATTGGCTCTGAGCCTCCTGGCGCCCCGCCCTGCCACCAACTCTCTTTCCCATTGGCCCCTGCCCCAAACCCCCATTGGCGTGGTGCCGAGTCTAGCGCCGCCCCCTCTCCAGCTCGCTGCCTTATTGGCCGTGCGGCCCTAGCCCGCCCCGCTCGTGCTCCCCGACGGAGTCCCGCGGGTCGCTGCGCTCCGGGCTCCCGCGGGCGGCTGGGCCGGGCCGGGCCGGGCTGTGGGGTGCCGCGCCGCCCTCCTGCGCGCCCCGGTCCCGCTCCTCTCTCCACATCTTTCACTCTCCTGCCTGCCTTCCCCCTTCGGGAGCCTCCGCGTCGCCTGGCTGCAGTGTGCAGCGGAGCGGGGCTCCCTGTCCCTCGGGCGCCGCGCCCACCTGCTCCCCCGCGTGCCCGGCCCCTCCACCGCTAGTCCCGCCCCAGAAACGCGGCGGCGAGCCGCCCCTCCCCAGCCGCCTCCTCCGCCCCGGCCACGTCCCTTCCCCGATCCGGCCCGGGGCGCGGGGCTCCGGCCGAGGCAGGGTAGAGAAGACCGACGTAGCCGCCGCTCGGCTGCGCGACGGAGCCAGAGCCGGGTCCCTCGCATCGACCTGGAGCCCAGACCAGGCCCGAGGCCTCGAAGCGCCGGGGACATGGCGGTGGCACCGCCAGCAGTCCCCGCAGCAAGGACCAGGCGCTCCTGGGGAATTCACTCCTGGCCTGAGTTGTGCGTGTCTTACAGTCCGAGCTCACCCTGTGACGGGCGGCTGCGGACAGCAAGGATACAGGGATAATCTCCCTTGAAGCCCTATTTAGCACGAGGAAACTCGAGTAACTTTCCCAGAATGTGTGAGTGGGCGATCCCGAAGGGCAGGAGAAGCCAGGGCTGGCTCCCCAGGCTGATGCTGGGACCGAGGCGCCGCAGCCCGGGCAGCAGCGGGGCGCCCTGTGCAGCCGCCTCACCCAGCAGCCAGGACCCTGCAGCCTCCAGCTCCGCGCTGGCCACACCCGGAGCTTTAGGGGCCCGGTCATTTTTGCCTTGAGGGCTTTGACTGTTCGTTTCTGGCCCACCCAGAGCCGCAGTACTGGCCGGGGAGATGGCTCTGTAGAACAAGCGCTTCCTGCCGGGGCCTGAGTTCGATCCCCGGTTCCACCAAAAAAAAAAAAAAAGGCAGAGCCGCAATATTCCCTCCTGGGTCACGCGCTCACCTCCTCACCTTACTCAGCTCGGGTGTCGCCCCAGGGAGGCATTTCTGAGACTGGATCTAAACTAGGTCCCCTCCCCGCCCCCAGCCGGGCGCTTTCTGCTTTATCACCCTGCTGCTTCCTTCAGAGCACCCAGCACCGCCGAAGCCACCGTGATGGCAGCTGGCTCCTGTGGAGCTCGGGAGGCAGGGACCTTTTCAGACTTGTCAGAGCTGTGTCTGGAGGACCCAAGCGGGTGCAGAGCGGGGCCTTGGAGGACAAACGCGCGCCTCCGTGCTCGGTGATCGGAGGGAACCAGTGTCCCCCTGCTGCATTCTGCTGAGATGAGGTCGGGCAGACACACCTGTGACAAAGGACTGGGGACACAGCTTTTCGGTCGCTGACGTGTCCTTGATTGCTGCCTGAAGGCCACGGCTTTGCCCCTTCTCTAGTTGATCACATTGCCATCGCTAGCCTCGCCCCTGCGCGGCACCAGGTGGGCACACACTTGGCAAGGGGCCCTTTCTCTGCGGCTGGGAGGCAGGGCCTGGCAGCGGCCTGGAGTGGGGGAGGGAAAGAGTCCGGGTTCTCCCTGACCAGCCCTGGCTGCTCTTTAATGACGGCCCCAGGGGGCAGGGCAGGACTCGGCCTCCTCCCAGCTCCTCCTGCGCGCGGATCTATCTGATCTTTCTCCTGCTAAGGTCCAGAGAACCTCTCGTTGCTGGCAGGTTGGGGATTAGTCCTGTCCCTGGAGCAGGCCGCAGGAACTTGATGAAGTCTAGTGACCTTCCAGCGTGTCCTCACCCACTTGTGACTGTGCTTTCTTAGTTTTAGGGGTATAGACAGGTCATGCATTGTCACTGAAAAAAAGCTCTCAGACCCTTTGGACATGGTGGGGCACACCCATAATCTCAGCACTTGAGAGCCTGAGGCAGGAAGATCACCTCAAATTCAAGGTTAGCCTGAATTAGGTACCAAAACCCTGTCTCAAAAGTCCATTAGTAAAGGGTGTCAGTCCTACATAGAATCCTGGACTGTCCCCTTAGGGCCACAGGGGAGCCAGGTGACCAAAAGCCTGGGAACCCAGGGCCTCCGATTTCAGTCCAGTGAGGGACAAGAGCTGCCCAATTGCTGATCACACCCTTAGGGCAGGGTGTGCGGAGGTCCCTTACTGTTCAGTTGAAACCTTTGTCCTAGGTCTGGAAGAGGGGACAAATGCTGAGGGGGTCTTCATCAGTGCCCCCTATGTGGTGAGCACTGTGCCGCACCCTGGGATAGGAAGTAAGTGTTGGCTAAGGTACAGATGGTACAGTCGGAGAATTAGCCTGCCATTTGCCTCAGGTCCTTTTTTGTTTGTTTTTGTTTTTTGAGGCCAGTCTCACTGTCTAGCCCAGGCTGGCCTTGAACTCAGTGATCCTCCTGTCTTAGCCTCCCAAACGCTGGAATTGCAGGTCTGTCACCACACCGAGCACCCTCAGATCCTTAAGGGGCGTGACTCTTAATTTTGTCATAAGGGAACAGAAACCGTGTCATCAGATCCACAATCTTTAGAATGTTTCTGTTGATGAATTATAAGTTTCAATTTTAAGAGTTTTTTAGGACCAGCCAGATAGCTCAGCAGATTAAAGTGCCCACTTAGGCCGACGCAGGGCCCGGGGTTTGATACGTGGCATGCAGTGCCAGCCACTGAGACAGCGATTGGGACTGGATGTGGTGGCACGTGCCTGGGAGGCAGAAAACAGGAGGATCACTATGAGTCGGATCTGTGTAGTGAGACCCTGTAGACCATGGACTGAATATATTTAAAAATAGAAGTTTTGTAATACTAAAGAAGTACTCAGCAGAGGAAAACAAAATAGAAGTATTAAATTTTTAATATTTATTATTTATAAAACATCAAAATTTTCAACAATTTTTGTTGTACTAAGTCAAGAGCAGGATGGGGAGATGGCTAAGTAGAATAAGGGCTTGCCTGGCAAGCTTAAGGGTCTGAGTTTAATCCACAGTTCTGAAAAAAAAAAAAAAGAGAAAAAAATGTATTTTGGGCCCAGGAGATGGCTCAGTAGAATAAGGACTTGCCTGGCAAGCGCAAGGGTCTGAGTTCAATCCCTGGTTCCGCAAAACAAAAATAAATAAATAAAAAATAAGAGCAACACAAATTCTTCTATGAACTACAATGAAAGTAACCATAGCCCTTTACTTCAAATTAGTGAAAAGTCTTGTTATCACTCCTAAGATAGTCTGCGCGCATGACAACAGCACATTCCATACACACACATAGCATATGCCCACAGCACATGTCATGATTTCCTGGCCTTTTTAAAAAAAAAAATGTATTTGGGGCTGGGAAGGTAGCTCAGTAGAGTAAGTGCTTGTATGGCAAGTGCAAGGTCCTGAGTTCAATCCCTGGTACTGCAAAAATCAATCAGTCAATCAATCAATCTTTGGGACTGGGGAGATGGTTCAGTAGATTAAGTGCTTGCCTGGCAAGCACAGGGGTCTGAGTTCAATCCCCAGGTCCTCAAAAAAAAAAAAAAAAAGTATTTGGTACAGGGTCTCAGGACAGAACTCCGACTGATAGTGATCCTCCTCGTTTTCAGCCTCCTCATCACTGGGATTACAGGCATGTGCCCCACACCCAGTATCGTTGGTTGGCTCAGCATGCCTGGGATGCGTCCGGCGTGGCATGTGGTGCCGGGGATTGAATCATGTTAATAGTCTTGCTGTTTTGTCAAGGGTTCCTTAGTGTATACAGTCTGTAGTCCACAGGAACATAAAATATCAATTATTTTTAGTATGTATTGTGGGGGCTGGGGAGATTGCTCAGTGGAATAAGCACTTGCCTGGAAAGTGCAGGGGCCTGAGTTCAATCCCCGGTTCCACCAATAAATAAATAAATAAAATATGTATTGTGCATGTACAACAGACACGAACATTTTCACATCAGTTGTGTGCTTGCTTACAAAACCTAAAAGATAACATCAAAAATAAAAACCTAGGGCCAGGGAGATGGCTCAGTAGAATAAGTGCTTCCCTGGAAAGTGCAAGGGCCTGCGTTCAATCCCCGGTTCCACCAAAAAATAAAACCTATATGAATGACAACATAAACACAAACAAAAGTCTACCACAGAAATAAGCTTTGGTTCAACGGTCACCTCAAGGCAGGACACTGTACCAAATACATCTTAAAAAAAAAGGCCAGGAAATCAAAACGTACTGTAGGTATATGTTGTGTGTGTACGGAACGTGCTGTGTCATGTGTGCAGACCGCCTTAGGTGTGACAACTCAAGGTGTCATGTCTTCATACAAGAAAACTGCATCTTCTATACACAAGTACCACACTGATAGCATGCATGTTTTGTTTTCCTGTACTTTATTGTAGGGAACGGTTGACATATTTTTGCTTTCCTGTTGTCATAGTTGGTCTTTGTGGTGCTGTGCCTGCCTATTCACGTGTCAGCTCACAGTTTTTTGTGAGCTCCACAATTTTTTTGCATAGTTCTCTATGGGCACAAACATTTTGGTTTTCCTCTGGTGTAAATGATCTCTTAGGAGCTCCACACCCAATCTTCTAAGAAAATTATATATATATGTATATATATATACATATAACAATATTATACATTATATATTAATATATCATATTGCATATTAATATATAATATCTAAGGACTTATAATCATATATAATTATATGTATGTTGATATGATAGATAGTATTTGGTACAGGGTCTCGCTATGCTGCTCAGATCTGTAGTGATCCTCCTGGTTCAGCCTTCCCCGCGCTAGGGTTATAGGTTTCTGCCATTACACCCAGTTTCAGTGGCTAGCTCAGCTCGGGGCCGGCACAACATGTGGTACCAGGGATTGAACCTGGGTCCTTGCGCTTGCCAGGCAGACACATAGAATGCTGAGCTATGTCCGAGGCCCTCCTAAGTGATATTTTGCACTTATTTTCTTTGTAAACTATCAAACCATTTATGCCACTTACATATAGGACTGAGTACAATACAGCTATTGGCCAGTGCTTTGAATTCCAAGTGACATCATAGTTGCTGTAGAACTCAACAACAGCATCTACTGCACCTTTGGTTTTGTTGTAGAAAATTACCATCTCAGGCTTCCATTGTGTTTTGTTTAGGTTTCCCTAACAATATTTCTATCATGGTGAAATGTATACGTCAGCTGTACCAGGTTTTTTCCCTTGCCAATGCTCTATCTTTCTAAAACCCAAAGATTATACTGTACACTTCTGTTTTGAAATTGCACTTGGACCAGTTGTGGTGGTGCACGCCTGTAATCCCAGCACTCAAAAGGCTGAGGCAGGAAGATGGTTGTGAGTTTGAGACCAGCCTGGGCTACAAAGTGAGCTCAAAGACAACTGGACTACATAGGGAGACCCTGTCTGAAAAAGAAAAAATTGGAATTTTGATTTTATTCCTACACTGGTCAACGTGTGCTCTGTCAGCACAAGTAGTGTCAGTGATACAACTCAGCAGTACAGTACCTTCCTGGCAAGTGCGAGGTCTTGAGGTCAGTTCCCAGTACACACACACACACACACCTGCACACGCGCACACACACGTAACATCAGAAGCTGGTAAAACAATTGTTGAAATGTCACATTCTGATTAGTTTGTGAGTTAGGAGCAGTAAGCCTACCTATAGTATCATTTGGTTGGTTTACTGCTA